GAAGGTGAGAGTTTATTATTGTAGTTTATTTTGAATCATTTTATGATATTCTATCTCCTTATATATAAGACTGTCTGAAAGTATTAGTATTTGTCCCTGAATCATTCGCATGAACCAGGACTATGCATCTAAGGATATCTGCAGTCACAGGCAGCTATTACTTATTGAGAATAATAATAGCCAGAGGGTACAGCTTAATGATTCAAGAATCAGCTTTATAGAAAGAATCTATGTAGTCTCCCTAGAAACCAAGGATCAGATCTCATCAGGGTCAACTTAGCCCTTTCTATAATAGATAAATTGAATAACATGCTGTTTAATTTGTATGTGTATGCATTATTGAATAAAACTATGAAGAATATTTGGTCTGCATATTAAACATATCACCATTACTTTGGTAAGTAATGAAAATTACAGTGTTATTGTTATCAGTTTATTTAACCTTTGGTAATTATGGACATCACCAAGAAACTGGTGCTACATAAGGTTTTTTTAAATTGGAAAACACTAATTTGTTAATGTGCAGTATCTTTCTGGCTAGGCTCTCTTTTATTTTCTGTTTCTTTGGTGGCTTGAATTAGAGAGTAGAAAATGTTTGGATAGTTGATAATATATCCAATTCAACATCTCCTGTGTTGTGTGTCAGTTTTCTAGGTCTTACTTAGAAAGATAAAACTGTGTTTAAAAAAAATGCTTGCCATTTCTTACGACTTTATAAATTTCTCAAGACATAAATGCTTATTTTGAAAATTTGGAAATACAGATATGTATAAAGAAGAAAATATAAGGTACTAGTTTAGCTACATGAGTTGCTGTGGCAAAAGCTCTTTCAAACTTTGGTACAAATGCATCCTCTGTGGAATAAACAGACCCCATTTTTTAAAGAAAAAAACCACCACTGATCCTACTTTCAAAGCTAGCTGGTAGTAACTACTAGTTAGCATTCCTTCAGCTACTTCTAGTGTCTATACCTTTTATTACCAAGTACCCAAAATTAAGTTTCTAGGATTTCCCTGCTTTCAGTGTTCTAAATACTTTCTTGAAATATTTTATGTATCTCTTTATTATAGTAAGTGTCTAAAAATGGGATTGTTAAGACAGAGGATATGAAATTTAAAAAAAAGTATTTCTTTGCTATTTCCAATTCATTTTCTTGAAAGGTAGTGCATTAGTTTGCTGCTCAATGCTGTAACATAATACCACAGACTTGATAGGATAGACAACACTTCTTTTTTGTTGTCTTGTTCTGGAGACTGGAATCCAAGATTAAGGTGCCAACAAGTGTAGTCTGTTGGATAGATGGCAACCTTTTGCACATGATGAGGTGATGGGAGAATTAGTACCCTACCCTCTTTGGACTCATTCAACTTTAATTATTGCCATAAATCACCCCTCTCTAAATATAGTCAGAAGATGTCATTGAACGTCTTGGATCCCCTAAATATGAGAGTTAGGACTTTAGTAGATGGATTTTGAGGAGAAAGCTTAGTTTATAATAAGTAACATTGCCATTCAACATCAATGAATGAAAGTTCTTATTTACATCTTACTGCAATAAGTATACATGCTGCACCTATATAAGCATAAAGCATGGGCACTATGAGAATGGTAGAAATGGCATTGTTTTTCTCCCAGTTCTTTAAGCCTTGGTTTCAGAGAACAAATTGTCTTTGTATGTATGTATGCATGCATACATGTTGTAGACAGTTTGGACAAGTGCTTTACCATTGAACTACATGATCAGCTCTTGAAACTTAAAAAAAAATAATTCTTGTACCAGGAATGGAGAGTTGAAGCAGTGGATAAGAGCACTGGCTGTTCTTCCAGGGGAGTTAGATTCAGTTCTCAGAACCCACATGGTAGGGTGGTTCATAACTGTCTATAATTCCAGTTCCAAGAAAGTTGGCGTTCTCTTCTGGCCTCTGTATGTCAGGCACACATGTGGTATACAAACATACATGCAAGTAAACACTCATAGACATAAAATAAAAATAAATCCTTAAAATTTTTTGAAAGTATGCTGAGTTTTCTATTCTCATACTTTGATCATTTTTCTTTTTCTTGAGTTTGTTTTTAATTGCCAGAAAGATATATTTTGATTTGATTATTTAACTGTTTCATGTTTTGTCAGGCATTTCTTCTTATACAGAAAATGAATCATATATTTAAACATTATTTATCCTTTGGCATTAATCCATTATTTACCTTTAAATACAGCAAAGTGTAAAGGGTTAATAATAAATGAGTTTCCATATTAATGAATTATATGTTTAATGCTCACCATACGTTCATAAAATCTGTTTATAGTTTGAATGCATTGATTTGCTGGCAGTAAAATATAGTAGTGGCAAGGTTAATGCAAAAATCTTTTCAGATAGTGTTTACTCTGAATTAGCAAGTCCAGCCCTGATTCCCAGAACTTAAATCCCATAAGATGTGTGGTGAGAGATTTCTGTTGGCTAAGAAGCTTTGGGAACAGCTGCATCTTATATCCCTGCCTAGTGGCTCATGGTGAGCATCAGGAGCTGGAAGGTTCCATAAAGCCTTATAATAAAGAAATCTGTTTTAGCAAGCTGCAACCAACCAAAATGCAGAGTTGGGGAGTCCAGTCTCAGTGGCTACATCTACAAAATACTCTCACACCTAAGACTCAGGGAACATTGCAAAAGAGGGAGCAGTGAGATTGTAAGAGCCAGAGGGTCAGGGAGCTTTCTGTGAGATTGTGTCTCCTAGGAATGTCAGAAGTTACAGCCATGAGCTGAACAAGGAAAACAACAATGGACATGACAAAGTGGACAGGGAAAAGCCAACAAGGCCTCAATCCTACACAAAGAACTACAGGCATCCAAGAAAAGCCACAGTGGGAGAGGTGCTCTTCCCCAGGGAAGAGCACAACAGTTGGCTTTCCAGTGCCAGAGGTCAGCCTTGAAAACACAGAGCAGGTTATAATTAAGAGTATGTATGCATTTACATGTATGCATGTAATAACAGTGAAAAAGAGGTCACGAATTGAAAGAGAGCAAGGAGGGGTATATGGAAGGATTTAGAGGGAGGAAAAGGGAGAGGGAAATGATGGAATTATACTATAAAAATATATTATAAAACATATCTCAAAAAGAAAAAGAAAAAAATCTGTTTTAACTTTTATGACATTCCATGTTTCCAAAACCTATCTCAGCCATAGAATATTCATTTATTCTTTGTTTATTTGATTTACATTAACATTTATTCTGAAGCATTTATAGAGTAACAGGAAGTTATAAGGTAATGTACAGGGAGATGAAATTCACCCTTCACACAGTTTTCCTCAATGGTAACAACTTGAGTAGCTATAGTGTACCATTGCAATATGAAAATTCATATTAGTATAATCCATAGAGCTTGTTGTGATATCATCTGTACAGGCATTGTGTGTGTGTGTGGGGGGGCTGATGTAGCATTACCATTTGAGGATTTGTGGAACCACTGTTTTCACAAGAGTCACTTACACTGTCTCTAGCCACACCCATTCTGCTAGTCTCTGTAGCATTTGGCAACCATTGACCTGTTCTCCACATCTCTAGTTCTGTCCTTTTAAGGGTGTTCCATAGCCAGGCAGGGTGGCACATGCCCGATATCCTAGAACTAAGGAGGCTGAGACAGGAAGATTGCTGCAAATTTAAAGCCAGCCTGATTACACAGTGAATTCCAGTCTATCACTATGGCTCAAAAACATATTATATAAGCGGAAGCACACTAGGCATAAACTTTATGATTGGATTTTTCACTCAGAATAATTCTCCGCACTCTATGATGTTTTGTATATCATTAGTTCCTTCCCTTTTATTGTTGAGTAGTATTCCATGGTAGCCCCTCCTCCTGTTAATACCCTGTACCCTAGAACAAATGGTGTTCTAAAGAATACTGGTTTGGTGAGGGGATGGAGGAAAAAAATACAAATTTTGGAAACTTTCTTCTACAGAAATTATATACAGTTAAAGAAGTATCTTTTTTTTTTTTTTTTTTTTTTATCTCAAAAACACTTATAATTAAAATTTTTCAGAACAATGCAAAAATAACATCACATATTGAACATCACATGGAACTTGGGAACAAGAAAGGGACTTTTGGTTCATCTAAAAGGGAGCATTAGCTTAGACATAATATTGGCTTTGGAAAGAAGTGTCTTTAATAACTGCATTGCTGTCTAATGAGGAGCCCAGTGTTTGGAGTGAAAGCATACGTATGAAAACGTTAATACTGCATTAAAACACAGATCACTTTCACAGAGAGACAAATATCACATCTCTACATGGAGCACTTGAAGGCATAACTACAAACCACACAATGATGCTCAGGATAGCAGTTCCAAGCACCTACTTCTCTGAGATGTCACCAGTGACCACAGCCTAGCCCATGCTAATTACAATTATCCAAATCAAGTTACAAAACCAATTGGATCTTTGCAGTTGTAATACTGTCTGTTAATAATGAAGAGAATGAAGCCCTTGGGATTTTTTTTTTTTTTTTTTCTGTGTATCAATTCCTTGTTTTTATTGATACCTGTTATCATATATAAATAATCACCATCAAAAGACATTTTGCATATCACATAATATGATAGGTTATTACGCACTATATGAAAATATTTTTCTCCCCAAGAAGCTCAAAATTTTACAAACTTTTCCAAATATTTGGTTATTACCTTCTTTTCTCTAGTACAGTAGGAAAAGTATTTGAAATTCAGTTTGCAGGTTGTATGTCTATCTAAAATTAAGACCTATTCTAGGTAGGGAAGCTTAATTAATTCTACAGACAGAACCAAACCTGTTCTATCCAGTTAAGAGTGGCGAGTTGCTGGGCCTAACTTCCACCCTCCCTCTGCATGCTTTTCTTCTTCAATAAACTGCTGATTACTGATACTTGAAGCCATTGTTCTAAGACACTGCTTTTAAAGAAGTATCTTATCTTAAAGGATCGAATAATTTTTTAAAAATTAAGTTCTTTATTCTTTTGTTTAGGAATTCCAGAGACGCTGTAACACTTTAATTTCATTGATTGAAAAAGAAAATATGGAAATTGAGGAAAGAGAGAGAGCAGAAAAGAAGAAACGGGCAACTAAAACTCCAATGGTAAAATTTTCAGCATTTTCCTAACTTTTAGGTAGATTTCCCTTTTTTTACATCTTTACAAACGTTTATACTATGTTTAATGCCATAATGATACCCGTTACCAAGCTGGGTTTTATGAACTGCTAATTGGTTTTAGACAAAAGAAAAATCACACCACAAACATATTTCCTTTTTGTTTGAAGAACTTGTGGTTAGAAACTCCCATGCTACAGGACTCCATATTTAAGAAATCCCTCACAAATCTAAGCAGAAACATAATGCAAGCGAGATCCTATGAACGGAGACTGTGAGGTCGCTGTGAGAGTAGGGAAGGTTAGAGTTGGGATGGGATGGTGTGGAGATTGAAACCTGGAGTTCTGAGTTGATCAAATAAGTCGTTTGATCTTTGTGGAACTGTGTGTGTAAATGGGAACCCTGATCAGACAAGAAAGCTTTTTTTTTGACAATAAGTTAACTGCTGGATAAAAATGTGATTTTAATCCTGTCTGTGTATATCTATGATTCTAAATGTTCTGTTTGAGTGTGCTAAGTAGACCACCATATTTTATCAAATCTAAGATGCTTTCTGTTGTGAGACACAGCATTTTTGGGCTACTGAGAGATATGATGCCAAGTATCATCTGTTATCAGTTTTAAGATACATCCTGATGTCAGAGATGCTAAAAGGGGAAAAAATGTGCATCATAGAAAGATGTGAAATATGGTGTGTTAACATCTATCTTAAGGTTATAAAATAACACTCATACATAAAAATTTCCCCAGAAATTTAAATATTAAGTAGTTCTTTAAGATAAGAGTACATTTATAAGCCATGTGTAAGTAGATACTTGATGACTATTTTTGATGGATATTTTATGTCTTTTCATAAAAAGAAACACCTTTAAAAGTTATTTTACATTGGGTTACATAGTTTGTTGGGCTATGTAGAACATTAACCGTGAGTGTAACACTGAAGTGAATATTCATGTTAAAATTTCTTTAATGCATTTACATCCTAGATTTAACATTGTTGGGCCATTTAAAAGTGTGCATATTGGAGCAGAACATTAAATCTGTTTCCATTTTAGTCACAGAAAAGAAAAGCAGAGTCAGCTACTGAGAGCTCTGGAAAGAAGGATGTCAAGAAGGTGAAATCCTAAAGCCTAGAAATAAAGTTTTAAATGGGAAACTGCTATTTTCTTGTTCCCATCTTCAAATGCTAATTACCAGTTCCAGTGTATTCATGGTACTCTAAGGAAAAAAAAAATCTCTTTGGTTTTGATTTCTTGCATATTTTATATATTTTACAATACTTTCTACCTAAAATGTGTAGCTTTCTATTTTATGCTTTCTAGTATTTTGTGTACTGTATTTTGTGCATTTCATGTCTTCATCAAATTCTTCTCAGTCCTTGTTCTTTTAAAGCTTGTGCTGAGGTTTTAGCTTTTCTATGTTTTATATGCCGCTGCTTTGAAAGAGAACCTAGATTCTATAGCTGTATTATTGTTGTTTCCGACTTTAAATTTATATGGCTGTGGAAAAACGAATTAAAATGATCTGAGGAGAAAGACCTTTTCACTTCTTTGTTGCTTTCTTTTCTATTGAGTCTGGCTTGTATGTGTTACTGCATACTATGATTAGCATAATAATTGTTTCTTTGAGGTCATCTCAATATTTTTTTCCTAAAGAAATAAAGGGTGAGAAAAGAAAGATATTAAAAAAGCCTAATATTTGATACTGTGCTTGCTGTCAGTATGCGTTACATTTAAATTATTCTCTAAATATGCAAGTGGGAAAATATAATAAAGAAATGCCTATAAGAAATGTAATTATTTCCTGTTTTTTTGTGCAGTAGAAAGCAATTGTATTTACTGAATTGTACTCCTCACTACTATGTATTTTGGTTGAAAGCTGAAACTTTGCTTGCTGATTTGTGCATGATCTTCTGTTCCATAGAGCCAACACAGAGGACTCTAGGTGTAACACATAGATTTACTTAAAATGAAATTATAAGATGATGAAATGAGTGTTGTGCATTGCAGAAGAAGACAAGCTCTTTTCATTAGGAATGCAGTTATGCTCAGGTAGCAACCTCAGAGCGTCAGGAGTTTTGAACACCAACAATTTGTTTCTTGCTCACACTACAAATCCCATCTAGGTCAGAAAAATAGTATGGGAGGGACTCTGTTCCACACAGTCACTCAAGGGTCTACACTGACTGAAGTTCTGCTGTTTTATAATTTAATCGTCTAGGGCCTGCAGTATTTTCATCTGTCACTGTAGGAAAAGGATAAGAGAATGGAGAATTTCATACAGGTTCCTTACTGCTCTAGCCCAGAAGTGACACATATCACACCTACTTAGATTACATTGTCCCCAACTAGCCACATGGCCCTGTGTATTTCCAAGAGAATAAACAAATGTAGAGGAACAAATGGAACGTCCTACATTACTGCCTTCACTAACTTGGGTTATGACCCCCAAATTTCAATCTAGAGCTAGTAAGCTTCAACTCAGATTTTGGGATTTTCTACTCAAGTGAGTTGAAAAGCTCCCATCAGTCACCGGACCTGGAGAAAAACGATACCTGGAAGAAATTTATTGATGCCCTCAAGTTTTTTCACTAGAGAAACACATGTTTTTTTTTTTGGGGGGGGGAGTGTGAAGAGTGAAGATGAAGGGTGGGAGCATGCACAGTTGGAAATTCAAGTCTTTACTTCTTATCCTTTCTCTGTTAACTGGAAGTGGTTAATGGCTGAGCTGTATGTGTCTGCTATAAGGGAGAGAATTTGCAGGTAAGTTCTTCAAGCTTTTCATGAGTATCTTTCCTTGATGCATAGCATGACTCTTAAGGTTCTTTTTTGGACCAAAGAGTTGTACCATCCAGCTCTCGAAGACTGTAAATGAAATCTTGAGATGTCATCCTTAGAAACTTGTGAAATGGTTTTATGTAAGAGTTGGAAACCCCACACTATAGATGGTGAAACATGTCTTTTGTATGTAAAGATAGGCAGTTGCATTACCGAATCTAGTCTTCTAAGAAGACCACCTATACAGTGATCATGGGATGATGGCACAGTGTAAGTGAAGTCATTTTGAGGGTACAAGATGCCCTAAGTCTGACTGTGAGACTCTTTTTGGTTGCCAAATTTTTACAGAGAAATTAAACTGGCATAGAAGATTTAAAAATTCCAGGAAAGAAATAACTTTTCAAACAAGAAATCTAGAATTATGGGATCATATCCCTAGAGCTGGCTGCCATGTTGCAGAGAGAAAAAAGGATAGACAGTTTATCACATCAGCTGCTTGAAGGCCAGAGGAAGAGGATCAGAATGCCGCTTATTTGTATGGAATTTTGTAAGAGCATAATGACTCTGCACTCTGCTCTCTAGCAACATCATTCTAATTGATGGCACTGAAATCTGGCCCAACCTGATCCTCTGTTTGGAAAGTGTGCAAAAGGGAAATGGGGTAAAGAAACTGGGACTCTGAGGAGTCTCCTTCACTCAACCTGTATTCAATATGTGTTGAAGGTAAGGGGTGATTTGGCCTCCCAATAACAGCAAGGATTCTACAGAATCCCTCATAAAGTATCCATCTTAATCTTGGGCCTTAATTTCCTTATATTTAAATGATGGTGCTATGTCATCACCCTCTCATTGTCACTATTTGTATCCCTTTGGTGCACAGTCTGATTATATAATTTTTCTATGAAAAATGTTCACAAAATTTATCCTTTGAGACCCTCTGTGTAAGACAGTTTATTGAGTAGAATATTTGTGGCTACATTGCTTGCTATGATAAATGTTTTGGTTTGAAAAGCTTCTATTCAATTGGTGGAATTATGCACTATTATCAAAATAAAATGGCATTTCCCCAAGTTTTGTCAAAGGTTTGTAATTGTGGCCTAATTGTTTCTCCTCTTAGCAGTAGTTAAGATTCCCTGCCTGGTGTCCAGGCCTGTGACTGGTGCTTATATCCACATTGCTTTCTATCCATGTGTTTTTACCAGCTCCAAAAACCCTCAACTTGCCACCAGATTTCTATTTTCTTGTATCACTTACTACCTTGCTACTCCTCAGTGTATGTTTTCTCAGGTCAACTTTTTCTTTTGCTTGTTCATATTCCTTCTTCTTTTACTGGGTTTAGTTGTGTAGCTCAGGCTTTCCTCCAACTTATGTCCCTACTCTTTCAGCATCCCTTCTGCTAGGATTACCCACCAGGTGTGCCAGAACAACTGGCTCTGGGATTGATTCTTAAACACGTTTTCTTGTATTAGAATTGCTGTCTTAGGCTTCACTTCTGAGAAAATTCACAATAAGACATCTTACATGCATTGATCTTCTTTGGTCTTAGTAAATTCATGAAAAGGTAGAAGATGTGTAAGAGTAAGGAAAGTAATGACCAGATACTGAATCACAAATTTGTTCTTATAAGCACTGTACTCTGAGAAAAGTCAGTAGGTGGTATGACTGGATTGGGACTGGTACATCATATTGGGTGCTAATTTATCTCCATTAACAAAATTTCTCATATTACCAATAGCTATAATATTTAAAATTACTAGGTATAGGTTACAAGATACCCAATGGTTTGGTAAAGCCAAAGCTGGTGTCCAGGCTAGTGGTTCATTAAGGTAATTGGACCAGGTCTTGGCCTTTCTTATTGTGGTATGGTGTATAAACAGCACAGAAGTATTGTGACACCTGACCTTTTTCATCTATTGATCTGGTGGATCAATCATTTGCTTTTCTGTTGGGAAAAAATTATTTAGGCTATTATAGTCAGAACCAACCAAAATTTTAAAATTGGTTTTAAACCTTGCTTTCCATATTTCCTTCAAGACCTGCCTTTTGCACCTTTGATTTTCCCCTGTCATATAGATATTATAATTCAATAATATGCTAGACTAGTGAATAATGTGGCCTACTTTGAGGGTTTCTGTACAGCTATAGTATGCTATACTAAACACTGGACATCTAACTGTTCAACTCACATCATAAATACAGTTTTGAATTAATGTATCTCCTTCAATAGTGGAGACAAAACTTGTTTGCTTTATCTAAGACAGAACAGGTCTTTGCATAAAGTCAATCTTTATTGGACTGTTTGGTATGTTACTAATCACTATCAGTGACTTTGGCACCTTAGTTATTTCTGTTTGTTTTGTGCTAGCCATTTAGTTTGGTATTAGCAATCAGCATTGCCAGAATATGACCATTAGTATTTCTTTTACTAAGATTTCCATGGCATTCCACCTGCTGCTTCCTGGCATGTGTTAGCTGTATTGTTTACAATCGAGTAAATGGCATCCATTAATTACAATTAAGTTTGATATCTGAGTGTATCTTTGTGAGTATATCCCCTACTCTTTTCATATGTCTTTTTTGGTTTCTAAGATCTCAAGCTTTCTTCTTTTTCTCCATTTCCTAATTCTTTTCTGGTTTGTCTCTTATCACTTCCAAAACTGAAACATCCCCTGGACAGACATTTTTGCTCATTTAATATATCCTGCAGTTACTGCTTGCTAATCAAGGGTCTTTAAGTGTGTCTAGGCCTACCCAATTCTCAAAGCAAAAGCATTCTGGGTCCCAGCCATTATTTACTGTCTTTCTTGCTCTGGTCTTGTTTATTCTTCCATTAAGTTTCTTCCTCATCTCAATCCATGAACAATTTCCCTTTTCCATGTAGTAAATGCAGAGCTTAGTCCATTTTGGTACTGAACTCACTCTACCTCCCTTCAGTGGTTTCACTTAGACTCTGAAATCCATAGCCATTAGACACTTGGCCAAGGTTCTTGGTCAAGAAGCAATTATAAGGAATCTGTTGTCAACTGGATAGTCTTTGCAGTTCACTAGAGGTTGTTTCTTGGTCTTCTCTTCAGAAATATGAAGATTAAGGGTTGTCCAATGTCCAAATGGAAGCCAACATGAGAACATATTCTGGGGAAAGGATTCAGAAGACTGTAAAAGTCCATGACACCCCAGGATTTTATCACACTGTCAGTTTTTCCTTATCTCTGAGCATAGTTTATAGGAGAGCAAGAAGAACAACCTGAATTTGCCATCTAGTTAGCTGCCTGAGTACATGAACCTTATGATCTAATACACCAATGTGTGAGAGACACTGTTATTTTATTTATATGAGAGATAGTTTCTTTATATGGAACCTTATTGCTTTTGCAGGTTGAAGTCATGGCCAAACCAATCTTAATTTCTAAACTGCATGTTTTCACAAAAACTAGCACCTGTCAGCTACACACAGGAGATTACATCCTAGAATTTCAGCACCGGTGATTCACGTATGATGGCTGTCTATTCTGTATAACCTTATTTTCCAAATTCAGTGCCAGGGAAAATAGTTACTCTTATCTTCTTAGATCAAGTCTGTGGTATGGATGGAGATGAGTTCCAGATGTTGTTAAGGGATAAATCATGGTGATAACCAGCCAGGGAATATTCGAGTCCTGCGTTAGTCCTACCATCCATTTGTATTCCACATGGGATGCATGTGCCCAAAGGGTGACATAAGAAGCACATATATTTTACTAAGTGGGACATTAGCCCCAAATCGTAGTTCAGCATTCTACTGATCTAGTCTTTATCATAAGGAGGCTTAGGAGAGAGGCAACCTGGAACTCAAAACTGAAACAGGATGAGTGATTGAGTATTTCTTTTAAACCAAAAATCAACTTTCAGGATTTGCTGTTCCAGGAAGAAAAGTAGTCCCAGCTACCATCCCAGAAAAGAGCCGTCCTATCTATATAGGGTTGCTTATATTCTCAAGGTTCTATACACTACAAATTGTTCTTCAGTGCCCAAAGATATTG